AGCAGAAAGGTTATTGGAAGGCTCAATGTCCTAAGTTAAGACAATAGAATTAATCACAACAGCAATCTCAAGCTTGGAAATCTGGCAACCAGTCACAATCTAATGCTCCTAGACCACCTCAGGGTTACAAACCACCACAGTCTAATACTGCAGCAGTAATTTCATCAGGCCCTTTCACCGATTCTAGTACCTTGACTGAGCAATTTCAGAAGTTTTTCTCCTTACAACCACAAGCTATGTTTGCTTCTTCTTCTTCAAGAGGTCAGTTGCCTCATAGTTCTCCAGGTATGTTACATTCTGTATGAGTCTTAGATTCTGGTGTTTCACATCATATGTCTTTAGATTCTTCATCTTTTGTTTTTGTATCTCCTTCATCTTTTATTTTTGTTATGACTGCTGATGGCACTCCTATGCCTTTAACAGGTGTTGGTTCTGTTGTCACACCTCACTTGTCTCTCCCTAATGTTTAACATATTCCAAAACTCACATTAAATCTTGTTTCTGTTGGTCAGTTATGTGATTCTGAAAATTTAGTCACCTTTTCCTCTTCTTCTTGTTATGTGCAGGATTTGCAGTCTCGGAAGCTGATTGGGACAGGCCGTAGGAAGGGGGGACTATATATTTTGGATGAGTTAAAAATGTCAGTTGTTGTTGCCACTAGTGTTGATTTATCTTCTTTTCTTTTGAGTCTTTCTTCTTCTAGTTTTTATTTATGGCATTCTCATTTAGGTCATGTTTCGTCTTCTCGTTTGAGATTTTTGGCATCCACAGGGCCTTTAGGAAATTTGCAAACTTGTGATATTTTTTATTGTAGTGGATGTAAACTGGCAAAATTTTCAGTTTTACCTTTTAATCGAAGTATTTCTGTTTCTTTTTTTTCATTTGATTTGATTCATTATGATGTATGGGGACCTTTTCCTGTTGCCACAAAAAGAGGGTCTCGATATTATGTTTCTTTTATTAATGATCATACTCGTTATTGTTTGATTTATTTAATGAAACATCGTTTTGAATTCTTTGAGATATATACAACTTTTCGAGCTCTTATCAAAATTCAACATTCTGCTGTTATCAAATATTTTAGGTGTGATTTGGGTGGAAAATACACTTCTAATGAATTTGATGAGTTGCTTGCCTTAGATGAAACTATTCACCAAACTTCGTGTACAGATACTCCTGAGCAAAATGGTGTTGCTGAAAGAAAACATATGCACATTGTTGAAACTGCTCGTTCTCTCTTGTTGTCTATTTCTGTTCCTAGTGAGTTTTGGGGTGAAGCTATTCTTATTGTTCTAGGTTTGATTAATACAATTCCATCTTCTCATATTTCAGGTGTTTCTCCTTTCAAAAAGTTGTATGGGTATGCCCCTAATTATTCTTCATTTAGAATTTTTGGTTGTACTTATTTCATTCTTCGTCCTCATGTTGAACGCAACAAACTGTCATCTCGATCTGTTATTTGTGTCTTTCTTGATTATGGTGAAAGTAAAAAGGGGTATCGTTGTTTTGATCTAATAACTAAAAAATTTTGTGTTTCTTCATATTATTTTTCTTGAGCATATACCTTTCTTTTCTATTCCATCCACTATTTATAGCTTGACTAGATCTGATCTTATTCGTATAGATCATTTTTTTGAAGATTCTGATAGTTTGTCATCTCAGGTTTCTAGTACTTCAAATACCAGCACTGATCATTTTACAAGTACTGACTCTTTACTCTCTGGCACACCTAAAGCTACCTCCTCTCCTATGGTCCCTCAAGCTTCGTCTGAGATTGTGGATCCTCCTTTACGTTAATCCACACGTATTCGTAAGTCCACAAAGTTACCATATTTTACTTATTCTTGTTATTCTTCATCTTTTACTTCCTTTTTAGCTTCTATTCATTATCTCTTTGAGCCCTCTTCTTATAAAGAGGCAATTCCTGACCCTCTTTGGCAGCAAGCTATGGATGAGGAACTTTCTGCTTTGCATAAGACAAGTACTTGAGATTTAGTTCATCTACCTTCTGGTAAGAGTGTTGTTGGTTGTCATTGGGTATATAAGATTAAGACCAATTCTGATGGATCTGTTGAGCGATACAAAGTTAGGTTGGTTGCAAAAGGGTACTCACAACAGTATGATATGGATTATGAGGAGACATTTGTTCCTATTGCAAAAATGACTACTATTCGTACTCTTATTGCAGTTGCTTCGGTTCGTCAGCGGCATATTTCTCAACTTGATGTTAAAAATGCCTTCTTGAATGGGGATCTTCAAGAAGAAGTTTATATGGATCCCCCTCCTGGTGTTGCACATGATTCTGTATATGTTTGCAAGTTCAAGAAAGCGTTATATGGTCTCAAACAAGCAGCTCGTGCTTGGTTTAAGAAATTTTTTGTTGTGATCTCTTCCCTTGGATTTACTTCTAGTAGTCATGATTCTGCCCTTTTTGTTAAGTGCACTGATGCAGGTTGTATTATTCTGTCTTTATATGTTGATGACATAATTATTACTAGTGATGATATTAATGGTATTTTAGTTTTGAAGACAGAGCTAGCTAGACAGTTTGAAATGAAGAATTTGGATTTTCTACGATATTTCTTGGGTATTGAGGTAGTCTGCTCACCTAGAGGTTATCTTCTTTCTTAATCGAAACATGTTGCAGATATTCTTGAGTGAACTAGACTTACTGATAATAAGACTGTAGATACTCCCATTGAGGTTAACGCAAAGTATTCTTCCTTTGATGGTTTATCTTTGTCAGATCCTACTTTATACCGTACTATTGTTGGGAACTTGATATATCTCACTATTACTCGTCCAGATATTGCATATGTTGTTCATGTTGTTAGTCAGTTTGTTGCTTCTCCTACTACAGTTCATTGGACAATGATTCTTCGTATTTTGAGATATCTTCGGGGTACAGTCTTTCAGAGTCTTTTACTTCCATCTACCTCTTCCTTGGAGTTGTGTGCATACTCTGATGCTGATCATGGCAGTGATCCCACTGATCACAAATCTGTTACTAGTTTCTGTATCTTTTTGGGTGATTCTCTTATTTTTTGGAAGAGCAAAAAACAATCTATTGTTTCTCAATATTCAACCGAAGTAGAATATCGTGCTATAACATCTACTACCAAAGAGATTATTTGGTTACGTTGGTTACTTGCAGATATGAGAGTTTCTCTTTCTCATCCTACTCTTATATATTGTGACAACCGAAGTTCAATTCAAATTGCTCACAACTCGATTTTTCATAAACGAACTAAGCACATTGAGATCGATTGTCACCTTACTCGTCATCATCTCAAGCATGGCACCATTACTTTGCCCTTTGCTCTTCTTCTTTGTAGATTGCAGATTTTTTACCAAGTCGCATTCTATTTTTCGTTTTCGTTTTCTAGTTGGCAAACTCTCGATACTTGTCGCTGCTGCATCGTGAGTTTGAGGGGAGATATTAAGAAATATAGGGTTATTTTGTTTATTAAGGGTATAATAGTCTTTTATTTTTCCTGCTTAGTTTAGTTTATATATAATCTCTTTGTATTTAAGTTAATTTACTTCCTTGTATTCAATTGAATTATGCAGTATTAATAAAATCATAACCTCCTCTTTTCTTATCTCTTGTATTTCTTTAGATTGTTCAACATATCTCTCATGAATATTCTAGTCTTGAAATAGATGGTTTGTCTTTGATCGAACCAGTAAAAAAATTAATCAAGATGAACGTAAATTTGTCCGAATATGCCGCACCGTTAAAAAATAAAAAAGTAGAAGAAAGAGCGCCGCGGGTCTATCCAGTATCACGCATGGTAGAAGTGCACCAGGTAGCAGCGGTGATCACCCAAATTTAAGGGCGAATTATAATTTGACCTCCTCAATTATGGCATCGATCTCACTTTTTTCCCTCAGCAATTGAGTATTTAACGTTTCCTCTCAATGTAAATGTACAAATGTGTATTAAAATAATTGTTTTCAACATTTTCAATTACGTACTGTGAAAGTAATAACCATAATAATATGTGTACCATCATAAACATGATACTTGAGAGCGTAATGTAAAATTAATAAATATAATTAGTTACACAATACAGGAACATGATAGTTGAAAAGTATAATTTATCGTTTCTAGAACCAAATATTGCTAAGTAGATAATTGACCAATTTGGGGCAGTAATCAGATTCTAATCCTTACGAAACGTGCCTTTTTGTTAAGTTATTCAATTCTAAAACCACATTTCAATGGCACTAGATATGTTATTAATTAAAGCTTGGAATTGTCTTAAAGACTGCTAGCTTTTTCGAATCTTCTACCACCAACCATAAACTCAATTGTTTAATCCTAATCTTCTTCTATTTCTATCTCTATTTCCTTAGGATCAATTTAATATCAGTGGAAAACCGATTACAGACAAAACAGCAACAGTGAGAAACCACCAAGTCTCAGTGAATGAGGTCAACATAAAATCATGGACAAAATATATCTTTGGCCCCAAATTATGCGTTTAGTGTCAGTTTGATTCACAATCTTTTAATTGTGTCAAGCTAATCCTTTAAGTATTCAATTTATATTACTTCAGTCCAATAAAAAATGACAGTTTAAATTGACTAACGAAGATAGTCACATGCATCTTACGTACGTGACTACATTTATGGAGCATTTTTTGAAAATGTAAGCAACTAAAATAACACAAATTGTAAACGTAAAAAAACCAAAATGACATGCATTGCAAACTTGAAGGACCAAAGGGACCCTTTTAAGTATAGTCACGTGAGACACACGTAAACAACTCTATTAATCAATTTAAACTGGAGTTTTCAATTGGACCAAATTAGCACAAATTGAAAGCTTCGGGGATCAAATTGATACCTTTAAAAGATTGAGGACCAAAGTGATACAAAACGCATAATTTAGGGGCCATTTCCGTATTTTAACCTGAAGTCATAAATCAACTAAGTCTTCTAAAGTTTGTGCTTTCTCTATATATATTGCAATATTGAAGAGGCAGTGGAACCAACTTTTTTGAGGCACAAAGTGGAGCATTGTGCAATGCATACTCATACGCTTTCACACCAATATTCACTACTACTGCTTCCTTTGCTTCTCATCTTCTTCTCTGCCCCTTATTCTAAAGCAGCTTATAATATTCCAAAGCTCAGTCCACTGTTTAGAACAGTTCTTCAAGACCCCAATACCCTATCAACATCAATTTCAGAGGACTTGGAAACCTTTTTTTACTCACAAACACTTGATCACTTCAACTACAGACCCGAAAGCTATACCACTTTTAAACAAAGATATGTCATCAATTCCAAATACTGGGGTGGTGCAAATGAAAATGCACCAATATTTGCTTATCTTGGTGCAGAAGCACCTTTAGATGACGATCTAACTGGTATTGGGTTTCTCAATGAAAATGCCCCCCGCTTTAAAGCTCTACAAGTCTATATAGAGGTAATGTTTCTCCTTTCTTTTCTTTTCTTTTTTATTGCATTGAAAAATATGCTTAATCACACGTTTTTTGAATTCGTAATTTCCCTTCTTATCCCTTAATTTTGGATGCCGTGACATTTTTTTGACGTAAGTATGATTAAAAACAAAACTCTCTACATCATGTCTACACTTTAGTTCAAAGACTTACATATATGAACTCTTCTTCTTATCAGCATCGGTTCTATGGAAAATCGGTTCCATTCGGATCGTTTGAAGAGGCAATCAAAAACCATAGTATTCGTGGCTATTTCAACTCGGCTCAAGCTATAGCAGATTATGCAAAAGTATTGATGTACCTCAAGAAAAAATTGTCGGCCCAAAATTCTCCAATTATTGTCATTGGAGGATCTTATGGGGGAAGTGAGTGACTGAATGCAAATCATTATCCACCAGCTTCCTTGTTCGTTTTGATGTTATACATCTAACTTATGCATCTATTTTTGTACAAATTACAATTTGACCCCTTTAACTATTGCTCAGATCTCAAATTGCCCTCTCAGTTATCATGTTTCTCACATTATACATTTACTTATAGTTCTTAGTGTCACACTGCCAAAATTATAAACGTACATTAAAAATTTAATAGAAAGTTGTTTCACTTTGCCCCTGTGATTGTGTTTTATTTTGGCCCAACGCGGAGATATTTTTTTCTAGAAAGATGTCAAACGTTTATTTTTGGGACTCTGTGAAATTAAGAGTTGACTACGGTGCCAAAAAAAATTCAGTATCATACCTTTATTTATCATATTAGTAAGTGTTTTTATCACTGTTATGGTACTCAAAAAAAATAATAAACTAGTTACCACAACAGTGACAAAAATATCTATAATCGTAGTCAAAATCCCCCACAAAAGTAATATAAAAATTTATTGTAAAATGATTCATAAAAATTATAAAAACACCCATTAAAATCGTAAAAGTTGGAGGTACGATACTAAAATTTTTTCTTCGATATCCTAGTCAAATCCGTGAAAGTAATAAATCTAATTGATGGAACAAAGTGAGAAACTTTAATAGTTTAATGGGTGTTCAAAGTGTAATTTAATCCTGTCTTTAATGATTTTTATGTGAACTTCTCAGTGCTTGCTTCATGGTTTCGACTGAAGTATCCACATATCGCTCTTGGTGCTTTGGCTTCATCAGCTCCAATTCTTTACTTCGACGACCTCACTCCACAAAACGGATATTATTCCCTTGTCACCAAGGATTTCAAAGTAAAAACGAATAACTTCAAATTTATTAAAATTTTATTACTAAATATTGTTCAATTTACTTTTTAAATACGATTCAATTCAGAACTCTTGTAATTAGTGCAGAATTGTCAATGTGTTGCAGGAAGTTAGTGAGAACTGCTACAAAACCATTAAAGAATCATGGTCTGAGATTGATAAAGTCGCTTCTATGTCCAATGGCCTTTCAGTCCTCAGCAAAAGATTCAAGACTTGCAAGTGAGAATATCAATAATCCTTGTCCTCTTGTTCAATTTTTTTTTAAGGGTAAATTACACTTACACTTCCTAAACTATCACCTTTTTTCTACTTTACCCCCTTAACTACCAAATTTCTCACATTGTACCTTAAACTACCCTCAACTATGTAATTAGGTTCACAGTGCCCCAATTGTTAATATTCGTTACATATTTAACGTAAAATTATTTCATTTTGTCCCTTAAACTATGTAATTTTTTCACTTTACTCTGATATGTCAGCAATTTCCGTCTAAAACGATAACAAATATGGGGGTAATGTGAAATAAAGTGTTAGTTTAGGGTATAATGTGAGAAATTTGATAATTGAGCTGATAAAGTGAAAAAAGAGTGATAATTTAGAGGGTGTAAATGTAATTTACCTTTTTTAAATCTAAAACCTTATCTCATGAATTCTTTTTTCTTGTTCAGGCACTTGAACAATTCTTCAGAGCTCAAGGACTACTTAGATTCAATGTATGCCACAGCTGCTCAATACAATCAGCCACCGGAATATCCGGTGACGAAGGTCTGTGGCGGCATCGACGGAGCTTCTGAAGGAAGTGATATTCTTGGCCGGATATTCGCCGGTGTTGTAGGTTATAAAGGGAATTGGTCATGCTATGATACAGGTCAATACATCTATCCTGATGAAACAAATGTGGGATGGGGATGGCAAGTAAGTTACCTATGTTCATTTGGGTAAATTACACTTTAACCCCATCAACTATGGCTCTGATCTCACTTTGCCCTTTTAACTATCGGAATTAGTGTCACATTGCTGCAGAATCAATTACCCGACGAAACGAAAAAAAAATTTGGTATTGTACCATTTACTATTTTTTTGGGTTAACACTATCTTTTTAGTGTAACTTACTTCTAGAGGGAGTGAGATCACTTCTTGCCAGATCATCCAACCATTGTATACAATGCTACCCTTACTTTTTAAGTTCATTTACTATTTTTTGGATTTATTGATTACTTTTTTAGTTGAAACTTATCACTTTTTAGGTAGAAGTTATTATTTTTTGAGAGATTTTTGTTTTTTAATATGATACCGAAAAATAAAAATCCAGTATCATAATATTTTTTGCAATAAAATAGTACGAATTTTCATATACCGGACGGTCCTTAATTAACTTTCTTAAACTTGGCCCTTTATGATGGTAGAAGCTTCATCCAACATGTCAAAAATTCTGATTTCTCTTTCTTAATTTCTTTTATGCACAATCATGCAATCAAGTCTCTCAATTATAACTGATCTATTAATCCGGAATTGACTGGTTTGGGATTTTTAGACTTGTAGTGAAATGGTGATACCCATCGGCCGTGGTAGAAACGACACCATGTTCCCGCCATCACCGTTTGATTTCAAACAGTATTCTGATCACTGTAAAAGCTTATACGACGTCCCACCTCGACCTCATTGGGTTACAACTTATTATGGAGGCCAAGTATGTCTTTATGATTTATTATTCAAATATTTTTTAAAAAAATTGTGAAATTTTGGAATTAATTTACAATTATTTAGTCAATGATGTCACTTACCCTTGTATCCTTGTTATTCGACATGAAAGAGTATAAAATTGGTGCTCCATAGGTTTGCTAGCAACATCATCTTCTCCAATGGCTTGAGAGACCCTTATAGTAGTGGAGGGTAAGTGAAAAAGACATTGTAGCTTTCCATTTCTTTTGGAGTATGTAAATTAATCTAGTTGTCCTAAATTAATTATTTTTGCCTTCTTTAATTGTAGGGTGTTAGAAGATTTATCAGACAGTCTGTTGGCAATCTACACCGTTAATGGTATGCACTCAACTCTAATAACCTATCTATTCATACTTACAAGCATCTATATATACGAACATAATCTCGTTATTTATTCTGAATTCAAATCCTCTCCATAATACATTCAATTAATTTCACGCAACGATAGATTTTCAATTACGTAGTGTGAGACTCCTATTATAAATAATGGGTCCCAATTTGATTTATGATAGGTAAATTCCTATTGAATAAAATTAAGTAAAAGTGTATAGAGAGTAAAATCTCAATCCCTCTAATTTGATGCCTCTCTCGTTGCTGAACGACAATGAAAGTTAGAACAAAATATACTTTTAGGCCCTAAAATATATATATGAGGGATAAATTCTTCATGATCTGATTTTAAATAATTGCCAAGATTTGAACTCATGATATCTGAATTTATAACTCATATCTTTTACCACTTGAACTATCACTTGAGATTTCATTAGTAAATTTAATCAAATGACACCTACAATTTTCACTACCAATTTAAATGTATATCATTGATTCGTCCATTTAGACTCAAATTAAAAATTTGGGGTACCAAAGTAACAGAATTGAAAAATGGGGGCAAAAGTATAAACAAACGGATTCAGATCACTTTCAATATTTTTTTCTCTTTTTTTTTTCTTTTTCATCTGTCATCCACTATTAATAAGTGAAGAGCTCAATTATATATAATGGATTCCACGAAAATTCATAGTCGATAATTCATCAATAAAAAAAAATTAAAAGAAAATGTGTCGGAGAGAATTTCATTTCGAGACAAGACAAACGCCCCTATTTTAAAGACCATAATATCCTCGACACTGAGGGATAAATCCCTCTTAATTAAGCCCTCATAATTTGGGCTCAAAGAATTGTCAAGATTTAAAGTTAGGACATTTGAATTTACGACTCATATCTGTTACCATTTAAGCTACTTTTTGAAATTTCATTAGTATATTTAATCAAATGACACCTATAATTTTCACTGCCAATTTAAACGTATGTCATTGATTCGTCCATTTAGACTCAAAAATCAAATTCCACGAAAATTCACATTCGATAATTCATTAATAAAAATAAAAAAATAAAAAGACAATGTGTCGGAGAGAATTTCATTTCGAGACAAGGCAAATGTCCCTATTTTAAAGACCATAATATCCTCACTTATACAACATAAATTTTGCAGGATCGCATTGCTTGGATATTCTTCCAGCAGATGTAAGTGACCCACAGTGGTTGATCAAACAACGAAAGATAGAGGTGGAGATCATGGAAGGATGGATAAAAAAGTACTATGCTGATCTTCTTGCTCTCAAGAAATAGAACAATGTCCAATCATTTATGGATAATTATGTGATCGACCCATTTCAGCCACTGATTAAATAAAATGAAAATTGTCAATTTCACTTTCTTCTAATAATGAAATAATTTTGAAATATCAACTTCATATCTCTTTTTCTTGGCTAATGACATTTCAGTTTACCTTCCTATTACTTGGGCCAAGGGGCAAAGGGAAAGGTTGGAGAGAGATGTTATTCTGCATTTACAGGTGTAGGCTAATGTTGGTGGCATTGACAGATCGTTCAAGCATTCGTTCTTTTAATTTATAATTGCAACGCAAATATTAGATATATTTGATCATTCACGAGCTAAATACAGTGACTAAAACTAAGTTTTATACAACTAGTAGATATCGAACTTAAAACGTGCAAGCAGGGGGCAGAGCCATGTTATGGCTTAACGGGCCATGTCCCACCTCCATTTTTGAAAATTATATATTATACCCTTAAAATTATATTTTTGATTACATTTTATATATGTTACTTGAAATTCTTAAAATTATACTTTATACCTTAAATTATAATGATTTTATTTTATTTTATGATCTTGATTTTTTATTTGGCCATATTGCACCATTTACTATTAAAATTGACATTTTGCATGAATTGTTAAAGTGAAATTAATGCCATCGTTAAGAGACAAATTATAATGTATTAAAACTCTACGTAAAAAGTTCAAAACTATTTCGAATATGTATTTCATATATTTATTCTCTCTTCCCACTCTCTTTCTTCATATTTGCCAAAAATATGTTGAAATTTAATTCTACTCGAATAATTACATAATAAATTTCAACTTATATAATTAATTATTTAATGAATTGATTTATTTTTACATCTATTTATTTTACTTATTTTAAATTTATTTTTTTGAAAATTAATGATTACACGGTATTATGTGAACTTCATTCTGATATATTTTATTTATATGAAAAATTGACATTAATAATGCTATTGAATAACCCACATTAAATAAAAATATTATGCTATGCTACTATTTGGCCTCCGGAGAAAATCCTAACTCCACCCTGCGTGCAAGTCTATACATTACCCTTTTGTTGAACTAGTGAACCAACCCGAACCGACTGACAACAATGTGTTATTGATGTTGCCAGTGGTTCTGAGTTGCAAATGTGGTCCAATTTTGGTGGACACTGATGGCCTTTCACTGAAAAGGGGTACGAATGGGAAAATGGGATGAGTCAGGTTTATCGCAACTGTCTTTAAAAGCATGGAAACTGCTCCCTTTTCAAACTCAGTTGGCATGTTATGAAGCACCTTTCAGCCCCATTCTTTTTATATTTCATTTTTCACTTTTTTTTTTTTCTATTTGGTTGTTGCCTGGGAATTAATTTGAATTTCACTAACATCTTCCGTCCAAAAGCGACAAACATCATATCTCAAGGACCGATTTGATACAATTAAAAGATGAGCGATTAAAATAAAACTGAACACATATTTTAAGGATCAATAGCATATTTAACATTTTCCCATAAAAAGGCCTTGAACACATTCGACCTTATATAAACATGGCATGTTTCCGTTATAAATTAACACGTTGTCAAGAGTAATAACCATTTAAAATCAAATGTCATATGTTTCGGATCCATTTGACCAAATTAGAAGAAAAAGAACTAAATGAGACCAAGCTTATATATTAGGGATAAATAGTGCGTTTAACATTTTTCAAGAAAACATCAATGACCAGATGGCTTGCATTAATCTTTCCCCATTTATAAATACTATCTCCAAACGCATCTGAAAAGACTATTTTTGTTATTTAAACTTATATTAGAGACGTGTAATTGAAAACATTACCATTTGTGAGTGAGATCTTGGCCCATATCCGGGGCCTAGCATACGCCCATCTTCCAAGGTTTTATTTTGAGCAGTTTGCTTAGCCCACAACCAGCCCACCAATTGTAAGATCCGAACGGAATTAACCCAATCCATGTTGTATGGGCTATATAAGGACTACGACACAACTCCATTACTTTCAAGAATTGATCTTAGACCCACCTTTCCTGCTTAGAACGCCTCTGTATTGCACAGAAAGGACCGGAGGTTTTAGATTTGGGAGGAGAGAGTTTCCGATTTGTGAGAGAGAGGGTTGAAGATGCTGAGACTGAAGAGATTAAGCTCTATTACACCAGCAATTGTAAGTTCAAGACCCTTCCTCACACAAGAAGATAAGCTCTTCTCTCGTATCCCTTCTCATAATCCATCACAATGGACTTCCAATCGCTTCCTCGACATTCACCAGGTTCGTTTAATTTTCATTAACCCAATCCTAAAAAACGTAAGAGAAATTGATTGTGAAAATATTGGGTTGTTCCTTGTTTTATATGTTGAATCCGAGAAAATCAAAACAAAAACACACTATTCAATTGTTAATATAATATATAGCATAATATGAAAATGCTTTATTTCCTTTCTTGTGTCCCCTAGTTTTCCCAAGAACCAAACGGGGGTTCAATTCCCTACTATTTTCTGTAATTCACTAGAGAGATTTTAACTTGTGCTTATTAACTGAAAACCCATTTGATGACAGATTGGAAACAAAGCTGCAATCGAGAAAGAGCGTGCTCGGCTGTACGATTCAATTCCTAGCATTGTTTTTACATTTTGTTGAAACTCTTATATGGACCATGTATTGAGTTTTGAAGTGCATATATATATGAAATGTAGGGCAGTGCAGATGAGATGAATAGGGGTTACTTTGCTGACATTTCAGAGTTGAAGCAACATGGTGGTAAGGTAAACTAATTTAAGTTATTGGGTCGAATTTCAATTAAAGTTTCTGCAATTCATGTGGGTTTTGTCAAGATTATATGAATTGTTTGGTTTTGAAACTTTCTGATTTTGATTTGTGCGTGTGAATTACTTTTAGATTGCAAAATTTCATGTGGGTCTCTAGTGGTTTTATCGAATGATTTTTCTTAAAGCTTATTATTATTGATTTCTAATTGTGAATTTTGGCAATACTATTTCATGTAGATTGCAATGGCTAATAAGATCATAATTCCAGCCATGGCAGCTGTAAAGTTTCCTGCATTAGAAGTGAACTATTCTGATGGGTCAAGTCTTAAGCTGCCCATTGCATCTGATGGAAATGATGTTGATGCCTACAAATCAGATGTCCCAAAGGCATCCCTACTGTGTCTTTCTTTCCGTGCAAACTCGCAGGTTTCAATTACTTACGGTTATCTGAGATCAAGTTATGTTTGCCCTTACTGATATGTTTGATGTTGGTCTATTCTAGAACGTGTTGCTACACAAATCCTCTCCCCCAACTTCCCAGCTGCATGGTGTGCAAAGTCTACTCTACTAAGAATGCATTTCTATCATTCTTCTGATACCTTTTCAACTGTGACAGTTTTTGTGAAATCTTAGGTGCAAGAACCTCAGATAGATAGAAGTCAGAAAAGTTTATTTTTAAAACGGTAAACCAAATATCATGTTTCATGTATATTGACTATTTGCCTTGAGTTGGGATAAGGGTTTGTTGAGAAAAGTTGAGTACGGCTTGAGTATTGACTTGGCTTAGATTTGCACAACGTATGCAAATTTGATGCCATTTAGTCATTCCAGCACCCAAATAAAGTTGGGCCTCTTTCAAAAAGGAAAATAAAAACCAGTGAGGGAGAAACATGCAATTGCCTAATCAAAGCATGGTAGATTTGTACTGTTGAGACTTGAGAGTCAATCTACCTAAGGTTCTAGATCATGCTCACATCTACCACCACTGTGATGATTGTGTAGGCACCGCAATTGTAGACAGCATTGATCACATTAACCCTCAAAGAATAGGAGTATGGAGACTTTAACACTGGAATTGCAAAATTTTGTATTTTTCGAGATTCTATTGATTTATTCAACTCTTATATTAATTCTTGGTGAGTTTTAGGAATATCCCCCAAGTTAGGAAACTTTATTATTTGCCTTTTTTTCTAGATATGTTTCAAAGTCCAAATGTTGATGATAGATTTGTAGGGCAATTAGAAGACCATTGATCACAGTGGATCAGATTAGTATCGAACAATATGCATAATATATGAGGTTTAAATTGTTCTAGAATTTGTAGTGGTAAGATGAAGAAAATGAATCCATTAAATAAACAAGATGCGCCATAAAAAAATTATAATATTGTCTCGAAGCTTAAATTTGGCATCTAATATCTTCTTTGACAATATCTGGTCCTCCCTGGTATGCCTCTTTCTTTTTTTATTCTCTTTATAATATTCTTCTTTGTTCTAAATAGAGTACAGGCTTAAACTTGGCGCTAGTTTGGCAGTATGTTGTAAGACTTAATGGGGTGTGTGTGTGTGTGAGAGAGAGAGAGAGAGAGAGAGAGAATTTGATGGTGGGTGAGAGACACAGATAACTGGATGGCCCAGTTATGTCCATTTTGTGAATAATTTGTATGGTGCGTCACAGATGGCCAACAATATTGAGATGACTTGATCAAGACATCTTGGTCTCGGCCGAGCACACGTGCTCTAACAAATTCCACAATAGTAGCTAGGTTGTGCTCAATAAACAGCATTGTTTAAGCTATAATAACCGATATCTGAAACATATTCTGGAAGTTGAGTAAACTGATGTCCTTGCTGTTATCTTACAATTACACTCACGTTGGCAGGGAATGACTGATTCTTGGTGCGTACCTTTTCTCGATGCTTTCAGTAACTCGGAGAAAGTTCAGTTATATGAGGTATTTTGACACTCTGAGTTCATTTGAAAGATACTTTGAAGTGTTCATACTTGTTCTGTTAACATACACAAGAACAATTTCGAAAAAAAAAAAAACTCATTCAAGTTCTTAGTCAATTGTTTAAGACCAAGGATGGCCCAAGGTAAATCGGGGCTCTAGGTGAAAATTGTAGATAGGGCCCTATTATATTTCGCCTATTAATATGTATTATTTTTAATTATTATAATTTGATTTTTTTTAAAATAATTTTTTATTTTTTTAGATGTAAAATATTGATTAAGTTCTTATATTTAAGTTTTTACAATAAATCTTTCTCAATAGATAATATAGTTAATTCATTTAATCTTAATTGATCATAAATAAGATATAATCAATTAAGTTTTGAACAAGCAATTTAACGGGGCCTCTAAAATTTGACTTAACCAAGTATATAGTAACTTTAGATCAACAAAATTAGATAATGATTTAAATTTTTAAAATTTGGGCCTAAAAAATTGGATAATATCTAAAATATAAAACAAAAATTAGATCTACTATACTGAAGGGAAAATTTTTAGAGGCCCTCTAAAAGTTGAGTTTAACGAGTAAATTTGGACCCAACAAAATTAGATAATAATTTGAACTTTTAAAATTTGGGTCCTAAAACTTGGATTATATCTAAAATACAATATATATATTTCTATTCAACTAAAAGGATAAATTTTTTAGGGTCCTCTAAAATTTGGGCTTAACTAAGTCGAGAGTAATTTTGGACTTAATGAAATTAGATATTGATTTGAACTCTTAAAATTTGGGTCCTAAAAATTTAGATCATTTCTAAAATACAAAAAAAAAATTATAATAAAATAAATTTGGGGCCCCTCCAAAATTTGGGGTCCTAGGCAAGCACCTTAGTTATCTATGCCTATGGCCGTTACTGTTTAAGACATGGAATTTAGCATCCATCCATAGTTTCATTGTTTAATTCAAAGATGCCCAATTTTTCTGGTTGATGCTCATAGTTAAGACCTAGAGTCCGGTTCCATTAGTAGGCGGACACCTATTAATATCCTGAACGGACAGTCAGAGTAGCTTGTGTGATTTGCTTTTCATTTTTTCAAATTACTTGACTTCTATTCATTGCAAGATGAGTTCATGCTTATAGGAAGTTGACATGCAATTCACATTCAAACTTAGTGCAATCATTGTTGTGGCAAATTCTTGTTACTACTGTTAAGTTTAGAGGACTAACACAATATTTAGAGAGAAACAGAGAGAGGTTAAGAACTTAACCTAACTCTCATACATCACTTGTATTTATAGTTAACCTATAATAATAAGAATTACACATACACCCACTTACTATTAACAATTTACACATACTACTCTATTATTCTTAACACTCCCACTCAAACTGGACTATATATATCATATAATCTAAGTTTGGAACAAATAGTTGTAAGACGTGTACGACTCAATGCTTTGGTAAACATATCTACAAGCTAATCTTTAGATTTCACAAATGGAGTTATAATCTCCCCAGCTACTGTCTTGTCCCGAATAAAGTGACAATCAACCTCAATATGTTTAGGTCTATCATCAAACACAGGATTAGCAGCAATATGGATAGCTATCTGGTTGTCACAGAATAACTATAAAAGAAGTTGAACTGGAAACCCAATTTCTTGGAAGAAGTATAGTAGTCAAGTCAACTTACTCGTCGTATGTGTCATTGCCCTTTACTCAGCCTCAGAACTGGATCTTGCTACCACGGGTTGTTTCTTACTTTTTCATGAGACAACATTACCTCCTAAGAAAGTACAATAACTAGTGGTTGATCTCCGATCAGAAGGAGAGTCAGCCCAATCAGCATCTGAGAAACCTTTTACTCTAAAATATCCATTAGCTCGATATAACAGTCCAAGTCCAGGAGCTCGTTTGAGATATCGCAGAATACAAGTAACTGATTCTCAATGTGGTACTCTAGGACATCCCATGAACTGACTTACTATACTGACTACATAGGAAATATCCGATCGAGTAATAGTGAGATAATTAAGTTTTTCAACCAATCTGCGATACCAACCCGGATTCTCAAACAATGCACCATCATCCATCAATAATTTTGATTTGGATCCATAGGAACATCAATCGGTCTACCACCCAGCAAACCTACTTCTTCAAGCATATCAAGTACATATTTCTTCTGGGATAAACAAATACACTGTTTAGATCGAGCCACATTAATACCTAATAAATATATGAGTTTTTCTAAATTCTTAGTATGAAATCGATCCTGTAAGAATATTTTTAACTTGACAATCCCCTCAGAATCATTTTCAGTAATCATAATATCATCTATATAGACCACCAATAGGACATATCCAACATCTATCTGTCTATGAAACACAGAATGATCTGTTTGATATCGAAAAAAACTAAACTCTAAAACTGCATCTGAAAACTTACTAAACCATGCCCTCGGTCACTGCTTCAAACTATACAAAGATTTCTTTAACCAACATACACTCTTACCATACTCTCCCTGAGCAGTAAACTCAGGTGGCTGCTCCATGTATACCTCTTCAACCAAGTCACCATGTAAGAAGACATTCTTAACGTCTAATTGAAACAAGGGTCAATCAAAATACGAACAGAGGAAATTTTGGTAACAGGAGAAAAAGTCTCCTCATAATCAACACCATAAGTCTGAGTAAAGCTTTTTACAAAAGCCGGGCTTGAGACGCTCCACAGAACCATCTGGATGAAATTTAACAGCATACACCCAACGACAGCCAACAGTTCGTTTACCAGAGGGTAAAGGAACGAGATCCCAAGTCCCATTATGATGTAAAACATTCATCTCCTCCTCCATAGTTTTCCTCCAACCCGGATCAGATAATGCATCTTGTAAATGCTTAGGAATAGATATAGCAGATAATTGGGAAGTAAAACAGGAGAAGATAGGAGACAAGGCATCATATGAAACAAAATGAGAAATTGAATGATTAGTAACACATGAACGAGTACCTTTGTAAAGAGCAATAGGTAAAGAGTCTAAATTACCTGATGTACCAAGATCAGAAGGCGGCAAGGAAGACGGTACGGGCACCTCAGTCGATGGGAGAGGACGACGAGAGTAGACACGGAGAGGTAAAGGAGATGGTAGCACAATGGACAGCGGAATAACTGAAAATGAGGAAAGAGATGATAATACAGGAGAGGATCCAAAATCCAAATCCAAAGGCTGAGAAGGTACTGAAAAGTATGGAACAGATTCTTCAAACGTGACATCAGCACTAGTAAAATATCGGTGCAGAGAAAGACTATAGCAACGATACCCCTTCTGCGTGCGTGAGTAACCAAGAAATACACATTTGGTTGCTCGAGGATCAAGTTTATCAAACCCAAGACCCAGATTGTGAACATAACAAACACAACCAAAAATGTTAAGAGTCGGAAAAATAAGGGCTTATCAGGAAAAATGACAAAATATGGACTTTGCCCATGTAATACAGAGGATGACATACGATTAATAAGATGACAAGCAGTAAGAACAACATCACTCCAATAATATCGGGGAATATTCATCTAGAATAACAGGGCACGGGTGACTTCCAATAAATGACAGTTCTTGCGTTCAGCAACACCATTTTGTGGAGAGGTGTAAGCACAAGAAGTCTGATGAATAATGCCAGTTTTACTAAGATAAGCTAAAAAATATCAAATTCATATTCTCGAGCATTATCGGAACTTAAAGTACGTATACGATAACCAAACTGAGTTTTTATTTCCTTACGAAAAGTCTCAAAGATAGAGAATAATTCAGACCAAGCTTTCATCAAAAACAACCAAGTCACACGAGGATAGTCATCCACAAATGTCACAAAATAAGGATATTTATTAGATAAAATATTCTTTATTGGACTCCATACATCATAATAGACTAATTCAAATGGGCTAGATATACGATTATTGACTCTAGACTGAAATGACACACGGTGATACTTACTAAGTTGACAAGCTTCACAAGACAAATGCGACACATAACTAAGACTGGGAACTTGGTGCTTCAGATTCTGGAGAGAGGGATGTCCAAGACGACAATGTCATTGAAAATGAGATAACGAAGTCTGTAGGGCCCGAGTAGATGAATCAAAATCAAAGTAATATAGGCCACCAACTTCATATTCTGTACCAATCTTCCTTTTCGTTTGAGATCCTGAAAAACACAATAAGATGGATAAAAGGTCACAGAACAATTGAGAGAACGAGTAATCTTACTAATAGAAAGTAAACTAAAAAGAAACTGAGGGACAAATAACACGTAAGATAGGGACATATCAGGACTCAAGTGAGTAGTCCCAAGACCTAAACCTTTAGAACAAGTACCATTGCAAGGGTAACACTACGTGCGGAAGTAGCAGGCTAATAAGTAGAAAAAATATCAGACGCACCAGTCATGTGATCAGAAGTACCAAAGTCTATGATCCAAGGACTGCGAGTGGAGGACAATAAACAAGTAGAAGCAATACCTGACTGTGCAAAAGTAGCAGTGGAGGGAGATGGTACAGCCTGTTGTTGGGACAGAAACTGGCATACTTCTCTTGACCCAGTGTAATAATAACTAACCCAATGTTTGGTGGAGTTGACCGAGGTATGGGAGCAACAACAGAGGTATCATCCTGATAGGAAGCCTGATTAGCAGCACCAGAAGGTTTTCCATATAAATCCCAACAGAAATCAACAGTGTGCCCTCCACGACCACAGTGAGTACAGGAACGGGGTCCACTACAGCCCCCATAACCACCCGTATGACCTCCTGCACGACCTTCTCGACCACCATGTCCACCTCGATGACTATCACTATGGCTACTAGGAACTACAAGAGCTGAGCGATCAGTGGAGACACCATGATCAATCCCTAAAAGAGTAGATAATATAGCACGCTGTAAACGAGAGAAAACCTCAAGCAATAATGGAAGACTAGAACCACCCAGAATCTGAGAACGAATAGCCTCATATTCAGGTTTCAATCCTACCAAAAATTTAACAACATTCAGGTCCTCATGTTGCTTTTGCCAAACTGCTACATCAATAGTAAACGGATAGTAGGTCTTCATCTCCTCACAGACTCCCCGAACGTGAGAATAATAATCCGCAAGGCTCAAAGTACCCTGCTCCAACCGAAAGTACTCCTTGCACACCTCATAAGCACGGGTAAAATTACCTGTACCAGAATACATAGTGGTCAAGTGATCCCATAACTCTTTGGTAGTATCAAGATAGAGCAGAGAAGAGCTAATACTAGGCTTAATGTTATTCAACAATAAAGAGATAATCTGAGCGTCCTCTTGTTCCCATTGATTATACCTAGGAGTATTTTCTTTGGGTTTATGATTAACTAAATATTTCTTGAAACCTTTGCCTCAAAGAAAGACTTGAACAGAAAAGGACCATAAAGTATAATTAGTTCCATTGAGTTTAACGGAAGTCATGGGACCATTAAGAATAATCGGAGAAGTGGAGGTAGGAGGCAAAGATGGAGCAATAGCATCTTGTTTAGGCTCTATAACAATATAACAAATAGTAAAATCGGAGCAACCTTACTACTGGACAACTGACCGGAGCAAGTAAATAGTAAAACTAGAACAACCACACTGTTGGGCAATTGAACGGAGCAAGAGGAAGTCCCTGAATCGCTGAACCGGACAGGAAAACCTTGCTGGAGAGCTGAACCGGACTGGGGGGCCTCTCTAAGCCTCTGAACCGGACTGGGAGGCCTCTGAATCGGACAAGAAAAGCAAACTGGCTCACTGAACCGGGCAAACCGAGCTCACAGAGCCACTGAACCGGAGCAAAAATAGAAGAAATCGGTTTGATCCAGTTCAAAACTGCCTGACCGGCTTAGAATGAACCAAACCGGGGTTGAACCGGACTTGAACCGGTCTAGTTAGGGTCTGGACCGGGTTTGGTCTGGACCCGATTTGGTTTTGACCTCGGGCTGGACCAAGTCTGATTGGGCTGAATCGACCCGGAGCTGACCCGATGGGTCTTGTCTTCTTCATCTGATTAGGGTTTCAAACGAAACCCTTACCTGTGTCGCTGGGGTCCCTATAGCCACACCACCACAACACCACTGTAACCACCACACATCGACAATCAACTCAGTAGCCACACACCTCACATCGAAGATCACAACACACCACCAACCACCACACACCACACACCACACCACTGCCACGACGAAGATGTACAGACAAACGACAATGAACAAGGGCCACACCACCACCACAAACAATCACGCCACCAATAGTTGCACAAACAGGGACCACACGATGACAGTGTTAATAAAGACAATATATATTTAGAATCGTTCCGTGCTCTGATACTATGTTAAGTTTGGAGCACTAACACAATATTAGAGACAATATTTAGAGAGAAACAGAGAGAGGTTAAGAACTTAACCTAACTCTCATACATCACTTGTATTTATAGTTAACCTACAATAATAAGAATTATATATACACCCTCTTACTATTAACAATTTACACATACTACCCTACTATTCTTAACAACTACAATAAAAAAAAAGTCCTATGTGATTCCTGATACTTAAGAAAATCATATAATTTTGCACTTAAAACATTGATTCAACTAGTTTTAGTTCTCAAAACTTGTGAACAGGAGGTGGTTAGAGAAGCCGAAGGGCTTATTTGACCTTCATGTCTTCTGTAGACTGGATGATCATGAAAGTTGAAAGTTGTTTCATGTCTCTGGCTTTTCCCAACTTAAACAAAAAAAACCTTTAAAAAAATGTTCATGTATTTCATTTTCATTTGAACTCTCTAATGATTTGTCCTTGGCATTCACTGCTGGGAGGTGTATTTGCATTAGCACATCACTTTGAGTTTGTGCATGTAAATGTTGTCTCAAACTAAGTTCCACACACATGTCCTGTTCTCTGCACATAATGTTCATGTTGTGTGAGACAGAGAGTGTGTGTGGGTAAGTATGTGCGCGCGCGGGGGAGGGAGAGATAGAGAGAGCTGGGACAAACTGAAGAGTACTGCCTCCCTGCAATATTTGGAAGGCGTGAGACACCAGAATTTCTAAATTTGTTGTGAAGCAAGCATTGGAACAGAAAGCCACAGTTGTAGAAACAAATTTTAGATTAAATCCGCAATAGAAAATGGGGGATTAAAAGGCAGTGCGTCCCCATGTAAGTTATCTAGGTTATACCACATAGACGAGGTTTATTGTTGCTTTTGAACTATTTCCTTTACGTTAGAATATTAGAATGTGTCATTGTCAGTACGAGGGACATGGATATGTCTTCAAACTAGTATGGAGTTTCGGATGATTTGTAGAGCTCCATTGTTATTGTCTTTGCATGATGAAACATATAGATGAGTAAATTTACATATCTCAGGTATCCTTTATAGACTCATGGCTATTGTCACGCAACCCAATAAAGAGGATACTACTTCGGTTAATGAAGAAATCTAACGCTGATGGAAGGAAGACTGTGCTTCAAAGGCAGATTGTTTATTCATTTGGAGACAATTATTACTTCAGAAAAGAGCTTAAAATATTGAACCTTCTCACTGGGTATCAAACTTTTCCCATATGTAATTTTTCGTCATGATTAACCACATGAAGTATGTTAGTGATAAAGTATTCTCCTTTGTTGTTGATACTCAACAGGTATATATTCTTGCTCGACAAATTTGGCAGAATACGGTGGCAAGGTTTTGGTTTGGCAGCACAAGAAGAGCTGTCGTCACTACTGTCCTGCACATCACTTTTATTAGGAGAGAAATAACAAGGACAAGGTATTTTGCTTAGCACTTCGATTGATGGTTTTGTCTGTCTTCAACATTTTCATTCTTTTTTTAGTTTTTCACTCTTACTTTTCCTTCATTTTTGGAGTAGATTCTCAAAATTTTCAATTTTGTCATTGTATTTTCTTATTATATGTGGCTCTCCCACTGTTTTAATATTTTAGATTTCCCCCCTCAACTTTACCATGATGGTTATGGAACCAAAGTTTTTCCAAGTCAAACTTTTCTATATCAACCTATCGATACTGTTTATAGTATTGTGCTTGATTGAACTATTTGAAGTTTGAACACTAGGAGGTCTATCTCTCCCAAGAAAAGTTCAACCCACTGTCCAGTATCCACCTCCATTCCCCCTTTTGGTATCTCTTGCAAGAAAGTTCAACCCAATCTTAACCTCCCTTCAAAAGTCAAGCTCTTTTGGTATCAAGTGTAAGTTTCAACTTGTTAAGGACTTGTGTATGGTATACTCTAATATGTAAGTTTTGTTCAAAAAAAAAAACACTAAACATTAGATCAAACATAGAAACAGCTGCTTTGCAGAATAAGGCTATGGCATTGGGAAAAGCCTTTAGGCCATGTTTGGACGGCGGTAATCTTGAGTGGGAATGAGTATCTTATTCCTTAATCTATGATTACCATGTTTAGATGGCGAATTTGGTTGGAATTTTTATCGGGTATCTCATTACCGTAGGTATGAGAATCCCACTTTCGTTGAGAATTCAATACCTAATGCCAAAGGTGGGATTTTGATTCCCAAAGTGATAGGAATCCATAACCAAAAAAGGTAACTCACATAATTTTTTGAATCTCATACAAGCTTACTAACGTTGACCAAATACTTGATATGCAATTCCAATCACATTTGAAACTTGGGAATTGTTTTTCAGAGAATAAGATATTCATTCCCACTTAAGAATATTACCATTCAAACATGGTCTTATAGTCATACATCTTTCGATTGTTTCATTTGTAGCCATTGATCATACACGTAATAAAGTAAACTAAACTAATACTCAAAAATAGTTTTGCATATGAAACATTCATATTGGATGAATAATGAACACTATTGTATTGAAAAATAACTGTTATGTGCTATAGTTGGACCACTCTTTCCATGGTGATAACATTGCAATACATCGGGCCCTCTTCACACCTTGCAGTTCTAAGATTCACATGCCGTCCTTTTAATTTTGTTTTAGATTGAACTGATCGATGATGATGACAATAATGATGACGATGACAATAACAACGACAACGAGCAAGCCGTCTATTTCCTAATCAATATACAGGGAAAAGGATTCTAGAAGGCATATACTAAATATACATAAGGATCAATGATCGGGTAAGCATTTCTAGAAGAACATTTTCAAAAATACACGGCCCTTGACAATAAAATTAATAAGCCGTGTGAAGAAATCAAAATATTATATATATATATATATATATATATATTCAAGTTTACCTAGAATAATTCAAGACCAGACAATTGAATTTGATTGCTGAACAAGATAGGGTGGAGGGTTAGACATATAAGCACCAAGTCAGCGGAAGAAATTCAATGAAAGTGATTGAGTCTAAGGAAAACTACAGACAGGTTATAGATCAACCCAATGCTTGAGCTGCTCATCTGCTTCAACATCAGCTTTGCCTTTAAATTTTCGAAAAGTTTAGAAGGACGAGCACATGAAATGAAAAAAAAAAAAAAAATAGTGGGCAGTCTTTATCTCCATTGTTGCAAAGGTTAATTCCCGAACTTTAACACACGTCGTAATATATCCATCCTCGACAAGTATTTGTCATATTCTTTAAAGTCTGACACCAAAAAACCTAAGACAACTCTGACGTACCCAAAAAAAAAAAATTTGGTATAGCACGGATTTTATTACTTTTATCACATTTTTAGGATCAAGCGCAAATACCATAGTTAGGCCTCTCAATGGACAAGATTTCAACCCAAATCTGATCTGAATCTAAATTCGTTTACGTGAATATGAATCAGATTTTTAATCCAGTAATTTGATCTGAAGTCAATTAGAATTGTATAAACGGATTCGGATATGAATTGATAATAGTTTGATCCGTTATTAATCTGATTCAAATAAAAAAATATATTATGTAAATAAATATTACACATTTATTATACTTATATTAAAAATAAGTAAAAATAGAGTGAATATCACAATGTATGACCCACTTTTTTCATTTTTATTTTATTTTCCTCTCTTGTTTGATTTTCTCTCTTACTTTTACTACAATTTTCATTTTTTCTCCTCTTTTTAATTTATTATCCAAATTCTTATTGTTAAATTTGTTGTGTACATGTTGATAATGGGGTCGGATCCGATTTTCGGATTGCGTATTCGAAAGTTAGCGGATTCGGATATGCATTGAATTTTTAAAATCCGTCAAATAATCGGATTGAAGTGGATCAGGAAAAAAAAACTAATTGGATTTGGATTCGAATATATCCAGTTCGTATCCGATCCGTTGACAAGTCTAACCACAGTGTGATTAAACGAAATGTTTACTCAAGCATCATAATCTTGCCTAACCATTCGGCTAGAGATGCCTTTGTGTGATATAGCAAACTGTCTAGTTACTTGTATCGATTTGCCACTGTGTGGTTAAAAACAATGCATTGCACTAGCAGCATCAGCTTAGCAAGATAAGAACGAAGGTCGGGGGAGCAGGGAAGAAAATTCTCTCTACTGTTGGCTCACCCTTGTATCAAGCCTTTGGTACAGTCTATACATGACTGGGTCTTGACGGTTTTGGCAAGGTTATAAAACAACTATCAAAATATGTTAAAATATCCAATAAAATAGTAAAATTTTCCAAAAAATTATTCTTTAAATAAAATTTTTGTACCTATCTCTGTCCACTACCACAATGCAGGTACTCCTTCATCCGAAACTTCACCTGTCATAGTAAATTACTCTGAAATAGGAAGCTTCTTCCCTGAAACTTCACCAGTTATTTTAGAATCTCCTAAAATAGGAAGCTTCCTCTCCATACCTAGCTGCAAAACATGGTGCCAAATGGCAGTGGAGGACTCACAAAACTCCAAGAGAACAAAATAGATTTAGATACAGATTGTCGTTGTTGAACTACCTCAAACTCAAAGACTCGAATTCTTTAAGAACATATTTTTCAAGTCCCATATTCGCAAGAAAAAGTCAAAACAATCGAAATTTGGTGACCATTGCAACTAAATGTGTCTATATCTTATTCACTGAACCAATCAAAAAGCAAATAAATAAATAAATAACATTTGCTGCCCATGTTTTAATCTCTAGCATAACATTTGTAAGATATATTTAATTATTGTTTATGGAGTCAACTAAAGATATGTGGTCATATTCATTACGTTCTTTCTTCGATTTTATTTTATTTATTTATTTTGTGGATGAGTTATTCAAGTGGAACTCATTGTATGTAAGTAGACCATTCACTAATACATAGTAGGTGATTTACCAAGAAGAGAAATAGAAAAAAAAAATTATGAATGATTTTAGAAACGGATTGATTTTGAATCTTTAACTTATATTTATGAGTTATACATTAATAGGTGTATAGGGAATTATATAAATTCATGTGAGTGAATATCAATATGCCAATTGTAATAACAGTTGCCGACAATGCACGATAGTGACGATACGGTGTGCTGCCATGTTGAATAATTTGGGGTTGGTGACGCATTGCAGCGTGCTAGATAGATACATACTATGTCCGACTTGTTCAAACGGTACTATTAGATTATTAAAAATTGTAAACCAACCAAGGAAGCTTTGTTAAGGGTAATCTAAGATAATTTTTTCAATTATTTTTCACATAATTTTATTCAATGATAGATCATTTATCATGTAAGCTCGTGTAATTTATTATTTGTATGTAAACCCTTTATCCATATACCGTAAATGATCTACCATTTGAATAAAAGTGCGTAAAAATATAATGGGAGGTATTGAATATGTCATTTTTGGTGTCTGAGTGCAAGAATTGAGCATCATGGTAACAACCTGTTAAGATAACCCCTTGAATTATCATTGATTAAGGTCATTCTTGAGAGCATTTATGCCATGGTTCCACATGGTGTTCTCTGGGAAATGTCATGGTCAATGGCAGTACTCCCATGCCTCCGGTCAAAGTCACTGCCGGAAATTGAAACACGTAAACACATAAACCTAGCCCTACCGGAATTTTTGATTCCCAATATATCCTTTACTAAAGCTTTCTTTCTTCCTTTGGCACATGAAAGAACAATTTTAATCTCAATAGGTAGCTTATGTGGTAAGAAGAATGAATTGCAAACTTATAAGTCCTGAATTTAAATTTTGATATCAAACCATAAAGGATTTATCTCTCATGAATACCTTATTTTTTGTGTGGATAGTCTATCTTTAACTAGACTAAAAATGAGATTAATCCAGGTACGGGTAAATTAATTCAGACATCTTTGACTAATGAAAAAAAAAAAAACCAATTGTCAGAGGAAAAACAAAAGAGCTAAGGGTACAATGGTCATTTCACAGAAAGCAAAAGAAATTAAAAGGGATGTGACCATTGTTTTTGAGAATCGACCAAAGGAAAAGAAAGTAAAAGAAATTGAAATAATTGAGCGCTTGGTTCAAACTCTTTTTCTTTCTTTTGTGGTTCAAACTCTTTAAAGTTGGGATATGTCAAGAAGGTTCATGGTGTGCTTTAGCATCTCAACAGGGGACTCATTCAAGGTGTGACTCAATTATTTGGGGTGTTGGTGTTGGCCACTCTCTACCCATTTGAGGGGACAGCCCACCAAGTAAAAGAAAAAGTATGTGTAGTCAACATAATCTTTATGTTCTTTTTGTTTTTAATAATAGAGAACCACTTCCCTAATTGATTAGGTTAACGAACTGAATATAGGTTAGATTCTAGTTAATTCAAATTCAAATTCAAATTCGATTTTGATTACAAAGTTTTAAGATGAATTCGTTACAACTATTTGATAGATTTTATTTTCATTATTCATATTCGAATTCAATAACAATCGGATATTTAATGTGAAAATTCAATCATATGGAGCAAACTAAATTAAGTATTTTAACAATAAAAATCTAATTTTTAATATAATTTTATTAAATAATCATTTAATTTCTTTAAATATTTCTCTACGTCTAAATGTATAATACGGGGTTAGATTATAATTGGACCAAATGTGGTATATTCAAATCCGACCCCATGAAATATAATGTTTGAATTTGAATTACTAGTAAAAAATATTAGTCCATATTTGACTACAATAATTTGGATTCAGTCCGAATTCAAATTAAAATTCGATTAATTAATAAGTCTACCCATTATATTATTTTTGACACAATTAATAAATACGTATAATAAATAGGTTGGATTAGTGTTTAACGCTTATAAAGCATCAATATATAATTTATTTCGTGAGTATTAATCCGAACATGACACGAATTACAATAGAACGAGTCGAAAATAACAATATGCGGATGAGGCACCCTTATTTTAGTGCAATGATCAATCAATAATTATAAATTTATATTTACTTTTTTTTTTTTGGTTAGGCTATTATAGGAAAAGGGGACGAGGAGATTCAAGTCCATAATCTTAAAGTCTAACAGCTATATGATGACTATAATTATCTAAAAATTATTTTACGGGTGGGTCTGAAGTAGGGGACGAAGTCAAAAATGTATCATAGTAAGCGTAAATTCTAATAATAATATTAGTATATATATATAATGGTGAGAAACAATGGAGTAGATATGGAGAAAGAGCAGAAAGTCCGGGTTCAACTAGTTAAACATTTATTAGGTCACATAAATTGTATGAGAGTTTTTTGGGTGGGCAAATCTAGCTATTTTTTTTTCTTTTTTTGGCAAATAACTAATTGAGTGGGGCCGGTTGCCCCGACAGTCATCTTGTACTCTTCGTTATAGATAGATTAGGGATAAATTTATTTTTTATCTTTAAAATATGAATAATGCAACATAAACTTAAAAAATATATTTAAAAATTAGACTCGATAATCTCAGTCACTGTGGGTCCAATCATTTATTAGGATCCACTACCTATTAATTTTATTAATTTTATCTTTAAAGTATTTAATTTATATTTAAATGATCCCTATACAGAAGGACCATTATATTTTTATCAGAATTATCATGTGTTAGTCACGATATATTGTCTAAATTCTAAAAGAATAATACTTAATCATTTTTATCAAAAAAATTAACAAATTATCTGATTATGGATTAAAATTTTAGGGATTAAATTAATAAAATTAATGCAATAAAAACTAAATTGATAAAATAAACAAAATTACCATTAACCCTTTTTATTATTTAAACCAAAATAATAAGAATTCATATTTACTACGTAATCCAACGTTTGAAACTTCAGTTATCGGCTGTTGTCTGGCGGACTCGCTCTCTCCTCTCTCTCTCTCTAAAAAGCGAAAAGACGCAGAAAAGCAACCCCCTCGATCATTGCTCCCCCATTCTATTTGTTATTGTCTATTACTATTTTATTACACAACACACACATATATATATGTGCATACATATATCTATATATATTTACACATAAACAGCATAATTTAGCGTTTTGGTTTACGCGGTTGTTGGTGGAAGTTAAAGAAAAGGCAAGAGAGAGGAGAGAGGAGAGAGGGGAGAGAGACAGATAGAGATGTCGGCAAATTTCCGCGCCGGATTAACGGTCATCTTGGCCGTGCTTCTGCCGGCGGCGGTAGTATTATGTGGTTTCCCGGCGACTATGACTCTGGAAAGAGCTTTTCCGACAAGTCATGGAATCGAATTGAGCCAACTCAGAGCTCGTGACCGGGTCAGACATGGCCGAATGTTGCAGTCTTTGAACGGTGTTGTTGATTTTCCCGTCCAAGGCACCTATGATCCTTTTCTTGTTGGGTAATTCTATCAAACCTCCTCTCTTTATTTCTTTATTAACGATAAAGATTAGTAATTGATGTGCAATTATTGATCTTTTATCATTAATTGCAATTTTTCTGTTTGTTTTTATCTGATATAGTTGTTTCCTTGTTTAGATTTGTTTTCGAAAATATGGGTGTGACAAAAAAAAATTTGATCTCTATTCTAAATTGTGTTCTTTTTGTCGTACTATGCCAATGGGTAGGTTGCTTTTTGTTTCACTGCATCTTTTTCATGTTTTTTTTCATTGGAGGGTTATTTTGTCTTGTTTATTATTAGACAGTTGAGGTTAATGGATTTTGAAGTTCTTTGTATGTTTTTTTCCCTAGTATTGGCTAATATGGGTAGATTCCATTGTGCCTTTTGCGGTGTCCTTTCCAGCTTTTTGTTGATGAATTGATGGGAATTTGGTGATGATCTCTGTCTTGGTTTTGCATTGGGTTTTGCTTAGCTCTTTATTCTGCTCTGTTGGGATTAATGAGTACCTTACATCTTTATCTTTGATTCACTGTAGTCCTAAATTTGATTGTGCTGCATCTTATTGGAGCTTATTTTTTTGCGTTAGACTTTATTTTACAAGAGTTCAATTGGGTTCTCCTCCAAAGGAATTCTATGTGCAGATTGATACTGGAAGTGATGTCTTGTGGGTCAGTTGCAATCCCTGCAATGGTTGCCCTACCTCAAGTGGACTCCAAGTAATATCATTGTTCCCTACTAGTAGTCTTCCTTTTCTGTTTCAACTTTTTCATGTTTGCAAAATAAAAGGGCCATTTAATGATAGGAATCTGAATCTATATGCTAATTTATTACAGATTCATCTCGAGTCCTTTGATCCTTCAAGCTCATCAACAGCTTCTTTGATCACTTGTTCAGACCAAAGATGTGCTCTAGGAGCTCAATCTTCTGACTCTGGCTGTTTTACTCAGAGCAATCAGTGCAGTTACACTTTCCAGTATGGAGATGGAAGTGGCACATCAGGTTTTTATGTATCAGACTTGATGTATTTTGACGCAATAGTTGGGAATTCATTGACTTCAAACTCTTCGGCTAAAGTTGTATTCGGGTGAGCTTTCATGAACATGTTAAATTAAATATATAATTTATGTTCTATTTCATTTTGGTTAACCTTGTTGCCTTGACTGCTGATATATGAAACAGTTGTAGCACATCTCAAACTGGGGATTTGACAAAGTCAGATAGAGCAGTTGATGGGATTTTTGGGTTTGGGCAGCAGAGTTTGTCTGTTATCTCGCAACTTGCTTCACAGGGTATGGCCCCAAATGTGTTCTCTCATTGCTTAAGTGGAAGTAGTGGTGGTGGCGGTATATTGGTTCTTGGTCAGATTATGGAGCCAAACATAGTTTATACTCCACTTGTGCCATCACAGTAAGTTTTCTCTCAAATTGGGACTTTGTATATAGTACATAGAAAGTTTAATCTGTTTCTCACCTTTCCCTTCCCCCTCCCTAAAAAAAAATAATCTGTTTGTTACCTCTTTTGGTCAGAACAGGCTTCTTTCCTGCTAAATGGCCTCATTATGGATGTCTATATTGTTGTTTCTGATATCATCTTGTCAAGTATTAAGATTCTGAAAATTGGGTTATTTCTTTTAACTTGTATTGTTGATGAACAGTACTGAAATTTACCTACTTGGTTTGATTCTTAGGTTGAGAGTTGCTTCAAGTTTTCAACAGTTTCTTGTGAAACCTTAAAACTATAATTTCTATTTTGTTGGAGTCACTGAATTGTTGCCTTGAAACATAACAAGATCAATATACAATTTGTCATCCTCTTGGGCCCAAAGGTTATCCTGTCAGGGTACAGTTTAAAACGTCAGTCTCCACATATACTGGCCATGCCAAACATACGTCTATTTGTATTCTATTCTCCAAGTTGTCCTTGTATGACTTGGATTTTCACACTGTAGACTGCTTAAGAAGTAGAGTCTTGATATACCTCATTCCTGGTTCATAAGAATGCTGTCTTGCTAAGCTATAGAGTTTACTAGGTAGAACCTTGCTCTACCGTTGCACTTTAAGTGAGTTTTCCTTGGTACATGGTCTTTTGGCTAGTGGAGCTGTAGATTAATAAGCATATTATTTGAAAATACAGCGCTATGTTGCTAGCCAATTCATTTTCTAAGAGAATACACCACTTTCTTGATTGCCTAAATTGATGGTTACAATGTTATGCATGGGGCCCTTAAACTAATGATGTTATGTTGTTGCATTGTTAGATGATTTGATAGATTTATTGTGGTTTTTGATTTCTGGCATGTTAGGCCTTCATTATGCTCTCCTGCTAATAACTGCCCCCAGCATGTCTTGTGTGGGCATTGAAATGCATTATTAATATATTAGTTTTCCAATCCACTAAATGCTTTGAAGTTCTTGCAAGCCCATCTCCTGTCACTAAATAGCTTTATAAAAACTTGATATTAATCATAGATGGTTATTGTCTAGTTGATAGATGATCCTATGGATGAAAAGAGAAAAAAATGAAGAAGCACACAGACAAAAAAAAAACTTTGATGGATCACTTTGGATTTATGAAGCCAATCACACCCAGTTGGAGTATATTTTATTGACAGTAATGTAATGATCACTTTGGTGCTATTTATGAGTTGGAAGTGGATGCCATAAGTAAAAATAGTCGCAAGATTGTCGATGCGTCTTCATGCATATTACCTTCATCAGTAGATGAGGCAAAGGTTGACATTAGTTCAAGAAAAACTGTCTGGTTCATCAATAGTTTGTAAATGACTATGGAACTCCTCCTCCCCATCCCAAGTGCATGGGAAAAATGGTTGCTATACTTTGTCAGTACAAAAGATTTCGGCATCTCCTGTATTAGACAAGCTATATGTTACTTCATCTTCTCGTTTAGCAATTAGAACTTGTGGTCATTACTTCTGCCTCAACAAGTGGTAAATTTTCATCACTCAATCTCGATCTCCTAATTGTTTTTGGTTGTCCAGAGTTCTCCAACTCTATCTCCAATTTTTCATCTTATCATGGAAGGATGGGGACAAGGATCAAAATATCGTTTCGGCGCATTGTTTAGGTCACCTAAGAAATGGAAATGTTTCAGAAATATAATGAAAATGGATAAAAATTTAGGGATAAATTTTCAAAACATTTCAAAGTATCGGTCTAAATATAGTCAAAGATCTTGAAACATCTCGAAACATTCCAAATATTGAAAAAAACTCAACATTCCGAAATATCTTGAAATATTCGAATTAATGATTTGTTTCGGCCTCCTTAAAAACGGAAATGTTTCGGATGTTTCAACTGTTTCGATACGATATTTTTATCCTTGGGTGGGGATTGGGGACTGCACACATAGAGGACCTAACTAGGATATGAAGACAGTTTTGCATTGAAAAGTCATTAATTTATTGTGGAAATGGATACCTCAGCTTGGCTTAGGAATATTAGAGGGAAGGAAAGGTTATTTAAGCTATGAGATATAAATGATGATGTGGTTTAATCACTTTTTGACTATCTGAGTTTGATTCTAGGAGTCTGCACTGCAATTTGCATTAAATGCGAGTATTTGCAATGCTCTCTCTAAATTGTACATTTCCCTTTTTCTTGGAATAATTTCTTTGCATTCAATGTGGTACTTGACATTGGGATTACTAAGCAAAAGCCGAGTTACCACCTGATGGGACGCTCTCATCAAGGAAAGCCAAGTTAAAGTGTGGTTTAGTTAAGAGTTGCAGAGTGCTGCAATTTTTAGCATTTCAAAATATAAGAAAAAAAGAAATACTAGCAGTCAGCTTTGCAACATAAGCCAACATGCAGGTTCCCAATAATGAAATCTGTGAACATTAGATTTCTGACCCCTGGTGCCCGTGCTTTGGGTTTTTACTGTAACCCATGGCTCACAGTGGATTTTTGGCCTTCTACTAACAGATTTCAAAAGGATACAAGTTTTAGTAATTTAAAAGGTGTATTGGTGTAAATATGAAGAAGATGGCTGAGAAGCTTAATGAATTCTGAAACTAATGTTCGTGATGATTCCAATTACCATTTATCTGAAATTGGGGACAATCATTACTAATTTATGAAGCTCCTCTGGTAGGTTCAAAGTTCCAGCATTTAACTACACACTCATTACCACCCAACAGAGAGGCTAGATCTCTGTTATTGATTAGCTGTTGGACAAACTGAGCTGCCTTTGAGCAGATTAGACTTTGTACAATGAGGCTTGTTTAGGTATATCAACAATCAAGTGATTCCTGGTTAAGCCTAGTTCTTGATTTTTTTTCTTATGAAGGACATTAACTTTCCAAAGTTTGCTTATTACGCAATAGTTTTGATATTTTGCATTAGTAGGAAATCATTTTGTGCTTTTTCCTTATACATAGGAACATAAGTTTTTATAGAAAATGACTTTGCAGTAATTCTCATGATTCACCTTCTATGTCTCCACTTTCAGGCCGCATTACAATTTGAATCTGCAGAGCATTGCAGTCAATGGTCAAACATTGGCCATTGATTCAACAGTATTCACAACATCAAGCAACCGAGGTACCATAATCGATTCTGGAACAACTTTAGCATACCTTGCAGAAGAAGCTTATGATCCTTTTGTCAGTGCTGTAAGTGGGGGGACAATATCTCAAGTTTTCATAAATCTATATCTAGAACTTGTATTGAAGTTTTACAATTAGTGTTCAGAAATGGCATGGTTTTGTTTTGCAAGATACCAGATAGACTATGTATGACTAAAAGCTGTATATACATTGTTACCTATGCAGTTGAAGTCTATAATCTTCTTGTCTGTGCAGATTACACAAACTGTCTCACAATTCGTTCGCCCCCTTGTGTCAAAGGGAAACCAGTGCTACCTAGTCACCTCCAGGTTTTCTTGGATATTCAATATTCTAGTTTTATTTTGACAGGCATAGTCCTTTACCATTTCATCTCCATTTTTCTGAATGTCTAAAAATGTCATTTTTTCGTTTTTCATTTTTCAGTGTTTCTGAGATATTTCCAGCAGTTAGTCTAAACTTTGCTGGTGGTGCATCGATGATATTAAAACCTCAAGACTACCTTTTACAGCAAAACTCTGTTGTAAGTTCTCATATATTTGTTAACTGGTTAAATATTGTTTGGATAACTATTTGTTGTTTCTTTAAGTGTTATTTGGATAGAATTGAAATTTATCCACACAAGCCCCAAGTCTCCAGCAGCTCTAAACTGGATTTTCTTGCTAGTCAGTAATTCAGTTTCAGTAAGCTAACACGGATGGCCAAATTTGTTTCTGCAGGGGGTGCTGCAGTGTGGTGCATTGGGTTTCAAATGATTCAGGGCCAAGGCATAACGATTTTAGGGGGTATGAGCACTGAACTCAAAAGGCCCTATTGTTAAATAGTTGGTAAACTCAATTTGAGAGTGGCTGCTTCCATGAAAACACATGGATCCCTTGCATTAACATGCTTGCACTTCTATTACAATGCACGCAAATGCAGACACACGACACATTTTTGAAGTTATGATTGTTGGCAACATGAATTCCAAACTTCCAGCTATGTCTCCAGTCATGGTTACAACCATCTATATACAGATTTCTGGTTCAGTATGTCTACGTTTGGTACAAGTGACAAAACAGCTGATCAGGGTTCGAAAACTCGCTTACCACTTTCTCTGTTATTTTTGTGGAATGTTTAGCCTGTTTGGCATGTTTCTCACTTCTAAAGCTTTTGGTACATCCGTACATGTGAAGGACTATCTTCGTGAGATCTTCCTTGTTGTAGCACTTGTTGTGGCCTTTGCCAGTTTTGTTCTTAGTCTTTATTTTTAATTCTTTTTGCTGACCACTTGTCTTTCTAATCATCTAACTTGGCATTCCTGTCTTGTGTGTGCTTACTTTTTGAGCATACAGTTTCTTCCTCGCCAAACACTGCTATAGCCATGGTCATTTTTTCTAGTGCATGCTCGTATACTTGCCTTGATCGCATTTTGAGACAAATAATCCTCAAATTTCTGTTTTTTTTTTTTTTTTGGGTTCAGACCTTGTGCTGAAAGACAAGATTATTGTTTATGATCTGGCTGATCAACGGATTGGATGGGCTAATTACGACTGTAAGTTTCACTGATCCCACTTTTGAATGCAATATCTGGGTTAAGCATGAAATGAAACAATTTGGTTTCCATAGCATTTTGACAGTTTGTGTTGGTCATGTAAATTGGATTTACTGATGGTAACAATTTGATTTTGCAGTAGATCAAAGTCATAAATGAGAGGTTATGGAATTGGAAATAAAATTGTTTTACATGACATTTTAACAGATAGATTGATTTTATACTCTTTGGGTTCCATGGGCCTTCTCAAGTCATTGGATCTTTATGCTCCTGCTGTATTCTGATCCTGTATACTTGATCTTATGTTACTAGGTTCACTTTCAGTAAATGTGTCTGCTACTACAAGCACGGGTAAAAGTGAATTTGTTAATGCGGGGCAGCTTGCTGGCAGCAGTTCATCACGAAACGCTCTTTACAAGCTGATACCAAGCTGCATTCTGGCTTTCTTGCTGCATATATCAGTGTTTGGCAGTATCTCGTTTTTGTAACAGCTGGCGAAGGAATGCTTTTTTTTTTACCCAGAAAGTAAATAACTGGTGCAGGAGTGTTTAGACTTCCATTCTTTGTTTCATTGTACAGCACCCTGCCTGATATTTATTTATAACAACGGGCGGTGCTGTGTTCTATCAACTGGATTGCAGCTTTTAGCTGCCCTTTTGATTGCATTAGCTTTGTGGATCTTAGTTGAGACCACTTCTTTTAGATTTTAGATCTTTCAGTTGTGTACACATTCGTATAGGCTACTATACACTTATACAGGCTTATTGGTATACATTTATATATAGTGAGAGTGTTTGTCAGCATTGTATACGCGAGACAGAGGATATTGTTTCAACATTTGACTGGTTATATATAAATGACAATACATTCAGCCATTGGGGTTAATTTTTTTTTTTTTTTCCAGTTTTGGACATTTAAGGTACTTGGTATGGTTATATAATGTCATTACTCTCTGGTTTTTGCTTACACAGGGTGTCGAAAGAAGGATACCAGCATTTTTATTTTGCTTATGTAGATGGCATTTCTTCCTCTTTCTTTGCCACTTATCTGGACTTCACGGCCACTACCTGAGGTTGCTTACTGCCCGGTGTCTGTTCTGGTGATGGGCGGCATGTGTTTATAGAGGAGAGAAGAGAGTGGAGAGAGAGAAGAGGAGATGGAGACTATTTTTTAGAGCTCGTTACTGGTCGTCCCTGAGCCCGTCTCAGCCTTCTTACACTACCTCCTTTCCTCTTCCATTCCCCACCCCTTCCCCATTGCTTCTGTCAATCAAGATCCTCAGTCCATACTGTAAATATCCATTCCCTTCCATCCATTTTACCTCTGAATAGTCTACTTCTCCTCAAAACTCAACAACCCCAATACCCTACTCCATACCCAAATGCCAATCCTTTTTGTCTATTCCTTCCCAACTTCAGGTATCTAGTCCTTAAACTCACCACCGTAATCAATTGGTCTCTAATCTATTGAAGGAAAAATACCCTACCAGAAAACCCATCTCCAGAAAATGCTCTGTCTGACCGAAATACATACCCACCTGCTCTCGTTTCCATAAACAAATCTCTTTCCCTTCTACTAAACATCATCAATAGCATTCAAACCCAATCATCTATCTCACCTCCCGATGGAACAAGACCTAAACTCACAGAACCCGAATCATCCATGCCTATCGCTGTTCTCCAATACTTCTACGGTCAAGGAGATCCAGAATTTCTGTCTAATGGGAAAGATTATTGAAACTCCTTTGAATAAGAATGGAGTCAACAATGTCCTAACGAATGCTTGGAAGACACACGTGGGATTTTCCATAACTCACTGGGAAAAGAACATTTTCCTATTCATGTTCAAATCCGTGGCGGATAGGGTCAAAATCCTAGCTGAAAGTCCCTAGTCAGTTATGGGCAACCTGATCGTTCTCAAAAAATGCCTTCCCAATTCAACTATCAGAGATTTCATGTTTAATACGGCTGAATTTTGGATACAAATATGGGGGCTCCCGATCGATATGATGACCAGAAATAACTCTTGGAGGATCGGGAATTTCTTGGGGACTCCTACAGAGCTTGAAGATTTTAAAGAAGAGTTGCCACTTACAAGGAATTTCCTCTGTGTTCGCTGTGAAATTGATATCACAGAGCCTTTGAAGAAAGTTTCTACTTGGTTCGTGAGAACCTTGATGACACTTGGATCAGCTTCAGGTTTGAGAGACTGTCGGATTTTTGTTACCAGAGTGGCCGTATCGTACACAGTCGAAACTTTTGCCTTGAAAAGGCCGCAGGTAAAAAGCTAGAATTTGGCCGAGTTAAGGACTCAATCTACTCCTTCGCCCACTTTTTTTTTGGGAAAACTGGTCTGTAATGGAGATGAGAAGCAACGAACGATCCATCCAATCTAAACACGGTAAGGAAATTGCCAGAGAAGATGACAGGCAGTCGGCACGTGAAACCCACAGATCAGTTGAGAATAGCGGCGCACGGGCCCTCAGTAGTTACAAATCAGATAAAGTGTCAGAGATTGGTGCAAGCACTCCTACCCATCCCTCTTTAGCCACGTGGTAAGGTACTACTCAGCAACCTATCAGAGAACGCTACAAAAAGGGTTGTGGAGACGCATGGAGAAGTTGGTGCCGACTCCGTTGATGCGTGTGGCTCCTCTACAAACTACAGGAAGGCACCAACCGCGTATCATACTGTTTAATTGAAGGGCAACGTTATTGATTTTTTTTTAATTTTGTTTTTTTTTTAAAAGATTCATCAAAAACGACGTTGTTTTTGTCTAAGACATATCAAAATCAGACAAACTCATCTCTCCCTTTTCTTCTTTGTCAAAGTTTTCGTTTTCCCTCTTTCTTCATCAAACAGCCTGGCTTCTCCCTCTTTCTTCATCAAACAGTTTGCCTTCTCCCTTCTGCATCTCAAAATCAGAGATCCTATTTTCCCTCCTTTTCTACCGCTTCTTCTTCGTCTCGAAATCAGATTTCGTTTATATCAAAAAAAAATTTATTTAGTTCTTTCATTCGTTTTTGTTGTTTTCATTTCATGCTTAAGTGTCTGTTATTATTTTTCATTATTTTTATTTTTAAGTTTTTAAGTTTAGGTAAAGGCATATATTATGTGTGGAACTTGAAACAATTAATATTTTTAATTTTTGTGAAACTTGAAACAATTAATTTTTTTAATTATTGTGGAACTTAAAACAAATAATATTTTCTATTTTTCTGGAATCTGAAACAATTTTTGTGGAACTTGAAACAATTAATATTTTTTATTTTTGTGGTCAATGTTGTTCTAGTTTGATTTTTATTTTTTGGAATGTCATACATATATTATATGTAATTTCATTTCAATTAATTTTTTTATTGTAAGATATTATGATGGATGATTTGAGAGTTCATGTGACCGAAAATAGACCTCATATTAATATGCAATTTGATATTGAAGAAGATGCAATTTCACAACATAAGTTTCATCAATACACCATTTCTCTTACATCTTTACTTCACTAAAATCACAAACATAAGCATTACCACTAGTAACATGGCTACAAACATATATGACTTCATGGCTCTTTCATTTGCTTCAAGACGTTGAACTATATTAGAAAGTTCTTCAATCTTCAACTTTAATATCATTACATTTTCTTCAATTTATTATACATCTATCATTTCATTTGTAATTTTCGAATAAGGTAGAGTAGTAAGAGTCACTCACTTAAAAAATTGGCATCCCTTGTCCGGACATTTGTAGTATAGTTTCTCATGATTTTTTGCAGATTCAGAACATGAAACTTCAGGAAAATGGAAGAATTTCAAGGATTAGTCTCAAACTGTTGTGTGATGGAAATGGACTTTAAGGGCCTTTCTTTCACATGGTGCAATAATTAGAAGGGTGACACTAATGTACAAGAAAGGATAGACAAAGCTTTAGTCAATCCAGAGTGGAGAATGACCTTCTCTTATGCCCAAGTTGTCCACAAAACAAGAAGAGGTTTTGATCATTGTCCCACTGTGATCAGTTTTGGCACGAAGAAAAGAAGGATCCCTTTTAGGTTTAAATTTGAGGCCATGTGGTTGGAGTCCCAGCAATGCGAATAAATTGTCAATCATCGGTTATTAATCCCAACCTAGAATTTATTCGCAAGAAACTAACAGATTGCAGTGTTGATCTTTGGAACTAGAGCGGAGATTTCTTTGGTAACAATAAGAAGATGCTTGATGAACTCAACTCCAAATTGGTTCTGGTACAGAAGGGAGACGTTACTACACAGAACCTTGATTTGGAAAAACAAATTCAAGCCCAAATTGATCTAATCAAGCGAAATGAGGAAAAGTACTAGATGCAATGATCTCGTATAAACTAGCTAAGAGATGAGGACCAAAATACCAGATTTTTTCATATGGCTACAATTCAAACTTAAATCCATGGATGGTGAGTGGATTGAGGAAGAAGGTGCATTAAACTCCCATATTGCTGAGTTTTTTCGAAATCTTTTTTCCTCATCAAGAGACTGAGATTTTTAGTGAAGTGTTTAAAGTAACTCTTTCCTTAGTTACAGATGAGATGAACGCTGCACTTTTAAGTTCTATCAGAGAGAGCAAAATTTGTCGAGCCTCCAACCAACTGGGTGACCTAAAAGCCCCCAGGGCCCAACAGATATCCAGGAATTTTTTATGAGAAATATTGGCATATTGTGGGGAAAGAAGTATGTAGAGTTGTCCAAAAAATATTCAGGAGGAATTATGAGCCCAGAGATAAATTTCGCAAGCCTTGTGCTAATTCCTAAAGAACCATCCCCTGAATCCATGTCTCAGTTCCGTCTCATTACTCTATGTAATTTTTTTATACAAGATTATCTCCAAAGTCCTTGCCAATCGACTGAAAAGAATCCTCCACAAGTTGATTAGTCCTAACCAAGCTGCATTCATCCCATGTCACCAAATTCAGGATAGCATCTTGATTGCAAACGAAGCATTCCATGCAATGAAAATAAAGAAGGGCAAAGAAAAGTTGATGGCAATCAAGTTAGACCTTAATAAGACCTATGATAAGGTCAAATGGGACTTCTTAGAACCTAATATGAAGAAGCTAAGAATCAAGCTCTCCTCACAAAACAAGGATGACAATTAATCCAAAACCCAGATTCCTCTTGGGCATGCATTATGAAGTCTATATATTTTCCAAATATAGATTTTATGAAGGCAAGAAAGGTGCTAGACCTTCATAGATATGATGCAACCTGTTATTTGGGAGGGATTTACTCGAAAAAGGGATGCGTTGGCAAATTGGTAGAGGCGACAAGATCAATTTCTGGGAGGATAAGTGGGTTCCCACCCTTCTAAACTTTAACATCGTCTCCAAGAAACCAGATACATGTGGAATCAACCTCGTGGAAGATGGGATCAGCATGGCTATAGGGGATTGGAATAGCGTAGTACTTAAGCTGATGGTTAGCAAGGAAGAATGAAAGGCCATTAAAGTTGTCCCGATTG